AAATTGTAAATTTTTTTGTTGTAAAATAACTATACAACTTGGAATGGGTTTGAGGCAAATTGTGCCATGAGTAGATTTTCTTGAAGTGGCTAAACAGTTTAAAAAGCAAGGAACGATAAAAGAAAATGTTTCTGGTACAGGACCAGCAGCACAAAAAAAAAAAATAGTGTACGAGTACCTGGATAATACACCCATTTTGCAATAATGCAACTTTTAAGTACATAATATTGACTGTCCACAGTCCGTGCAAAGTTACAACTCCACACTTCAACAACAGCGTGCTGCAAGTTCCTAAAGAAAACTATTTTAAAAAAGGCATAACCTAGATGTTCTCTGATTTAACCAACTCCATCTAAGTTTAGATGTGCAGAAGGGCTTCAATATATCCAGAGTAAGCCACATGCAACAAGTTACTTGATCAATTTTCTAAAATAAAGTCTCAGGACAATGACAGTAAGATAAGGAAGAAAACATGGAGGAATGAGTCCTGGTTTCTATACATGCATATCTTTTTTACAGGAGGGAGAAACCTTTTACGGATAAGTTACAAACAAAGAAAAGGCAAATAAACAGTTTTATACAAGAAATTTAACACATTCTATACAATGATCTTCACTTTGCTGTCATCATTTCTACAAACTCTTCATAGTTTACTTGACCGTCACCATCAATATCTGCTTCCCTGATCATTTCATCATCATCTGTTAACTTCTCTCCAAGGTTTGTCATCACATGGCGAAGTTCTGCTGCACTAATACAGCCATTGCCATCCTTATCAAACACACGGAATGCTTCTCTAATTTCTTCTGCACTGTGTGTGTCTTTCATTTTTCTTGCCATCATTGTCAGAAATTTAGGCAAGTCAATTGTGCCATTGCCATCAGCGTGTACTTTGTTAATCATGTCCTGTAACTCTGCTTCTGTGGGATTCTGCCCAAGAGACCTCATTACAGTTCCCAATTCCTTTGTTATAGTTTCATTACCCTCCTTGTCAAATAGTGAAAAAGCTTCTTTGAATTGTGCAATCTGCTCTTGAGTCAGTTGGTCAGCCATGCTGCAAGAACTACCAGTTTCCAACAAGGTACCACACAACCACTCAGCTGGCTCGCTCCACTCAGATGAATTCTAGGTTTTAGTTTTATCCCTCTGCATCTTATAAACTTGTTAACAGAATGCACAGTTCAGTCTTTTTTCTTTTCTTTCTACCTCTGGGAAAGGAATGTGAATTATCCCAAAGGACAGATTAGAATAATCCCTGGACCTTAGTATGGAACTTGTCCTGTAATAATATTTTACATAAAACGTAACATCAACTCAAAAGGTTTGCCTCCTTATGCTGTGGAATAGATAGGGGTAGGAGAGAACTTGGTTACTAAAGATCTTCCTTAGAAATGGAGATCATTAATATCAACAGGTAGTAATGGTTTTATATTTAGATGTCAGTGAACTTGATAACGTGCCAAAAATGGCCGAGAATAAGATCCCATTCTCATTGCTTTTGTGATTGTCCAAACTCTGGTTTGCCTCTGATTTTGCTTTTAAGAAATTGTGTTACTTTGAGCAAATCATTCTTCTCCTTCAATGTTAGTTTTCTTCTCTAAAAATGAAAAGGTTGGACTCTGAGTTTTAAAATCCTTTCCTCCTTAAGTAACTTGGGCTCAGTCATGCTGCAATGATACATGACCTCCAAATCTCTCTCTCTAAAGCAAGGCTTGTTTCTTGCCTTGCTTATCCAGGCCTTGTGGGTCAGCTGAGGCTCTGCTCCCTGTCATCCAGGGTTCAGGCTAACTGAGCAGCATTTCTGCCTGGACACTGCAGGTCTCAGGATATGTTAGTTTGTTAATGTGTTGCCAAACAGAAATATATGAGACTTGGTGATTTAAAAAAGAAAAAAAAAATTGAGGTGTATTTGGCTCAGGATTCTTGTGGCTATAAAACCCAAAGGTGTGGAACCAACATCGGGCTGGGCTCTGATGCTACATCACATGACTGACAGCAGAGAGGAAGGCAGGCAAATGAGAGAGAGGAAATAGAATTCTTCACTTCCTGTTTGTCTCTCCTGTGCCCCCAGCCAATTGGATGGTACCCTGTCATTAGGTTCCACCTCTTAAAGACCTCAACATCCCCCAGAGCCCTTACTCTGAGGACCAAGTTTCCAGAACATGAACCTTTGAGGGATAAACCATTATCTAAACCATAGCAAAAGGCAAAGAGAACCAGCCACTGCCTCTGAAGTCTTCTACTCAAGGGTAACTCTCTTCCATTCCCATTTCATTGGTCCCAGAACTAGTCACAAGGTAATGAAGTAGGCCAATATGACCTTATGGAGGGAGTCTTTACTGAAAGCAGCAGGAAACACTTAGAACAATTAAGTGGTCTACTTCTTTCTACCATCCTGTGCTTTCTGATGAGGCTGTTGTGTCCATGGGTGGAAAGATGAGCAAAACCAGGTCTTAAAGCTTTAATATTTTACATGGCTAGTCCCTGTTTGGGGTACTTCTGCTAAACCAGACTTGAAACAGAGATTTCACTTGTAGGAGGTATGGGAGAAATACCTGAAAAAGCAACATGTACTTGCCTTCTGAGTTCCTTGTACCTTATTTGTAGCTCTGTGGTGGTGTAGTCCATACTTTAAAGAATGCCACATGGACTTTTTCAATCGGAGAAGACCAAACAGACCCAACAGTAAAACACAGTTGCATAAATGCTTAAATTCCTTATACGTGAATATAAGATTAATGATTTTATATAATAGTTCTCTAAAAATTAAGGATTTTGTTGTAGGGTATACTTTTTAAAGAGTTCTTTGTTAACCTCTATCAGAAGTACTGAATGCTCGGGACCAGCAGTTGGCTTATGTAATGGCTATGTCGCTGGGCTCTGATGTAGTCGACCGTGGTTTGAGTCCCGGACGCAGTGGCTTAAACTCACACCAGGCGCCTGTGCGTGCGTGCCCAAGATCCCAAGAGGAGAATGGAGGAGAAAGGATTGTGGCATGGCCATCCCCCCAGGGGGATGATTTCTCGCTTTCTATCTCTGTCTCTCTCTGTCTTTCTTGCACACGCTTGATAGCAAAAACCTCTTGGGGGAGAAAAAAAAGAAGTACTGAATGCTCTATTGATTTTAACCAGTGTGGCATTTTTAAAAAAAACACTTTTTATTTATTTTTTTAAATCTTAAAAGAGGAAGAATTTTTGAAAAAATCACTTATTTTCCCATTCCATATAGATGACACCTCTAGAGACCAATACATAGCATCTTTAAGCTACCTGTAAGCTACTTTTAAGCTAAATAATGTCCAGTAACAATGATTATCAGAAAGCCTTTTTTATTTTACCTAGAGAAACCCACATTGAGTCAACAAGTTAATCTTTTTTAGATTCAAAACAAAACTTTGGAAAAACGAAATTTTACCTTTATTCAACAAGCATAATTATATCCACTAATTTTTAGAGGGAGAGCAAAATCCTACCCTAAAACAATTCATTGGGCCTCAGCAGTTTGATGGACCATTTCCAGGTCTTTGAGTATGAAAAATATTAAAAAGTTTTCCTTGTGAGCTTGAATTTTCAAAGAGGATCTCTTTGGAAAGTTGGCAAATACTTTCCTGGCAAGAGTATTAGGTTTTCTTTCATTTTTTTTTTTTTCCAAACTTTCCTTTCCACCCACAGCTACGACAGGGTGGAGCATACTTCCATGAAATTGCATGTTTCCAAAATAGGACTCACTATTATATTTTACTACTGTTATAATAGAATCTCTAATCAAAAATAAACAAAAACCAAGCATTCCTCAAAAAGAATTTCAGGTTATATTCTGTAATTTAGTCTTCATATTGGATAGAATTATTGTGTTTTATTAAAGTGCCTTTTGAGCAAAAGTATATAACCAACCAAGTTCTAAAGTGGTTCAAATTTCATTCCTCTTTCTGCAGTCTTCCACAGTAATATCCACAGTCTCATGTGGTAAATAGTGCACTGGACCATTATTGCTTTTAAGCTTCTTTTCTGGTCTAGATGGCTTTTGATGGAGAGCACTGCCCTCTCAGCTCCTTGGTTTTATATCCTACACCCAACCTAAATGATTGGGAACACTCCTGTGGTTCCTTGCTAGTGGATCATGATTCACTCTTTCCTGGGGTGAGATGGATGTGTGATAGAACTCTCCTATACTTTACAGAATCGATAGCTGTTCATTAAATTGGAAGAAGCAGAGTAAGAAAAACTCAAACTGTAGTTTTGTTGAATCCTGAAGATTAATTGGTTGGTGATCTATTCTTAAAAGTAACCACTGGTACATAATGTTGGGTGATCATTTTCATCTTTTAGGTGACATGTTAAAAGCCTCTAGCTCTCACAGCTAATGCCTGGATAGCACCTTGTGGAATATTTTCCTCCTTGGTTCTTAAACACTGAACTCTTAGATAAAGTGCTAAGGAAACTTGGAGGCAGTGGTCAAAGAGTCAGTGTGATGTCCTCATGAGGCGAGACCAGGTTCTTGCCCTCTCCAGGATGTGCGGGCTTCTAGTGAGTGGACTATGTCGCAGAAATATGTTATATGTGTTAACATCCATCTCTCTCCTGAACTTATAGAGCAGATAGAAGTGAAAACCACTCAAGATGGGAAGAAACAAATGGCATGTAAAAGAGATTCTCACATTATGTGATTAGTAGAAAGAGATGAACACCCTTTCTTACCTTGAGATTTTGTTTTCTGGGTTTTTTGTTTCATTTGAGAGAATCTCAAGTCCTTTCTTCAGTAAGCTTTACAATTCCTTCCTATCCTACAGTTTTGCTTTTGGAGTCTTTTCAAGATTTTTGTTTATTTGTTCTCAGTATCCTAACTTAACCCTACTAGACAGGCATGGTGGGACCCTCTAGGATGAAGTTTACTCTTTTCCTCATGGCTCTTGTTCTTACGCCTCCAATTTTGAAAGTATGACTTTCAAATTCTAAGTGGCTTCTCTTCAAAGCCATCCCTACTTTAACAGTGAATTGTTGGTGTTAAGAAGAGGTTTGGATAACTAAGAAGCCCCTTACTTACCTAAATGCCTCTTAAGACCTGACTAGGTTATTAACAGAAAAAGTTCTTTCTTAAAAGGCTCAGATCAACTCCTAAAGTCTCTCTCTCTCTCTTTTTTTTTTTTTTTTTGAGGTTTTCGCTATAGGGTGCGTGTGCTCACCAGACACAAAGAGAGAGACAGAGAGACAGAAAGCGAGAAATCACCCCCCAGGGGAGATGCTCACACCGCAATCCCTTCTCCTCCATTCTCCTCCTGGGATCTTGGGCACGCACGCACACGTGCCCGGCGTGAGTTTTAAGGTCCGGAACGCAAACCACGGTCAACTACGTGGGAGTCCAGCGACATAGCCATGACGCTAACTGCTGGTTCCCAACTCCTAAAGTCTCTTGAAGAGGTTACTTTGCATGAGTGTGTGGACCTTTTACTTTTCCTTGGGAACTGGCCTAGAGATGCAAGAGGATACCAGAAGAAAACCAGAAACAGGCTGGGGACACTGGGAGACTTTGGCAAAGGGTGTTGAGGGGAAAAAATCTTAAAGAAGGGGTGACCAGGACAAATGGGAAACATGCTGTGCTATGTAAGATATGAGAGAGAATCTTCTAGAACCCATATTTTCCTCCTATTTCAGATTTTACTGGGTTATCTCCCAGAAGATGATATAATACTAAGTATCATTAGATTCATTTTTAAACATGACGGCATTATTTATTTATTTTTAAAAGTAGTTTTAATTGCCTGAGGGCATATATACTCACCAGAAATGAGAGGTAGAGGGAAAAAGTACAGTCCAGTGGAGCAAGGTAACACGTCAGTCCCTTCCCCTCCACTTCTTTCCTGTCAGGATCTTGGGCATGCACATTCATTGGTGTATTTTTCTAGGTTCTAGTGTCTGACCCATGGTTGACCATGTGGGGATGGCTTCCTTAACCACATGATTAAGGCTACAGAGTGGCCCCCATTTTTTTTAAATTGAGGCTATAAAACCCTGAGCTTTGCTAGAATTGACAAGGTACAGATTACTTGAAGCAGAGGTGCCAGTGTGAAGCATTTTTGTTGGGGCTCCTGGTTTGCTGAATGTAAACCATGGAACCTGAGACCCTTGACTGTAGCCATGTATAGACTTGCTATCAGCTCTTTGTTCCATTGGAATGGGAGACAAACAGGCAAATAGCAGGTGTTTGGACCATAGGAATGCAGGGAACCACCCTCTGTAATGTTAACTAACTTTGTATGAAACATTTGAAAATACTCCTGGATGTGGGGACCTGACTGCAGGGAGAAGGAGGGAATGAGAAGGTATTTATGTAGCATATTTTACTGTGGCAACTCAGACTTTTTATTTCCTTCAAAGATAACTTTTTCAATAGATAATTTCATATTCTAGATCCGTTAAATGTTTCTTTCCTTTGCCCCTTCCACCCACCTTCTGCCATTCCACTCCCCTCTCACCACTCTCCTTTATAGTCTCTGGTATCTACACTTATCCTTCCTACTACAATATCTTTGAATCTTTCAGTTTCTGCCATAGAGTGCAGAGACATTCCATATATATTAAGTGGGGATATACAGTGTGTGTCTTTCAGAGTCTGGCCTAATTTGTTATCAGTAAGTCGTCTTATTTAATTTTTTTTTAAAGAATTATTCCATTTAACCTTATTTATTATTATTATCATTATTATTTTCCAGTTTGATCAGAGAGAGACAGAGAGAGAGAGGAAGTGAAAAAGCAAGCTACCAGGTCCGAGACTTGAACCGTGGTTGGCCATGTGGGAGTCCAGCACCTTTAACCACCATGCCACTTGCCAGCCCCAAGTCGTCTTATTTTAAAGTTTCTTTAAATTTGTACAAAATTTTTGCTTAAAAATGATCTCATTTACTCTGATGCTTTCCTGAGAGGAAGGAGAAGGCAGATCATGACTTCCCTTTTTCCTTCCATCATGTATTATTACCCAAAACTCCTTCAACACACACACACACACACACACACAGGAAAATGTCTTTGATATTACAGGATTTTATAAATGATCCTACCTAATGTTTCCTCCTTATTAGTTTGCACATTTAGAAAC